CTCATGCATCTTGGGACTCCTGAACTCACTCCAGTACCAAGGAAGCTGTAAGACAGAAACAACAAATATCAAATCCTATTCTCCTGTGTCACTTACCTGCTCCCGACCTGAAAAAACTATTTCCCCTCTTCCAGGAGTTCCAGTCCCAGGGTCCTGTACATATTGTATATATTTTCTAAACACTGTAAATAAACATCACTTTTCGTAGCCTGAGTCTTGTGTCGTTCTGGGTCTCGTTACAACTGGGTTGCCCGCTCATACAACAAGCTCACACAAAAAGTTCAACATACACAAAAAAACAATAAAAGTTTGAGAATTTTTATTTCACATAAATCATTAATCTAGGAACAAATAATTCATCCATCCATTATCTTAACCCACTTCTTCCTTTACAGGTCACGGGGGTCACTGGTGCCCACATCAGCTATCACTGTGTGAGAGGCGGGGGACACCTGGACAATGTCTCCAGTCCATCACAGACAAATAATTCAAAATATAAATACAAAAGTAAACAGACTTCAGCCTACCAAAGTACATTAACTTTTAACTCAACATAAAATAAAGACTTCACAGTTATGTTTTAACCATATTGCTCTAACATTTGTTATATTTTCAAAACTTAACCTAATATGAAATATACAGACTTCACAGTCTTAACCATATTGATTCATATTTAGTAAATATTTAACAAAATTTCAAAACCTGTGCAAACCTGCACAAAAACTTCTGAACTGTAATAATTTAAAAAACATAAATTGTATCATTTAGAACTGGTTCCAGGTGATGTGTCTCATCTGGCCTCTTCCACCTGTTAAAAAGACAAATTACATTAAGTTTGTTGTACAACTTTGCTAGATAAGTTTTAGTATAATATGAGAAAAACAGTTACCTTTGAGCTGCAGCTGCATCAGAGCTTCTCCCATCCGTTGTTTCATGGTGAAGTTGCGGTGCGGTGTTGCTGTTTTATTACAAAAAAAAAAAAAGCTATGTGAAAGAATAACGTCCGTTGCTTCCATCGTATTAAAAATAAACCTAAACCCTTCACCTTCCACTGAGCTGTTTGCTCGAAAATCCTTTGTGATATTGTGGGAGAAGGAAAGGGAAATCTTTGCAGCCTTTAGGGAATCTTCTGGAAGTTTGTTGCAGAGTTCGCTGGTCTGCCGTTTTCGCTTTCTTTCACACATTTTGTCTTATTTCCAAAATACCGTCCTGCAATTTTATTTTACACTTCTTGCAAACAACCATGCTCTTGTTAAGCTCTGTCTTCCCCTGGAACATTGTAGGATCTGAAATGATGTTTAAGGGTGCATTCACACTAGCCCTGTAGTCCGCTTTAATCGAATTCTAGCTCGTTTTCCTTGAAAGTCCGGTTCGTTTAGGGAGGTGTGAACGCGCCATCGAACTCTGTCACGGAACAAAAAGGCGAACTCTGGCCCGGGCTAAAACCTAGGTCTCGGTCCAGTAGAAGCGAACTCCAGCACGGTTCGAGTGCAGTGTGAATGTAAACAGACCGAGCCCAGCTCCGCAGGGTAAACAAACACGCATTGCTCTGACCTTATATGGAGCCGTCAACTGCCTTGTGTGAAAAACAATATTCTGCATGGTCTTCTGTCTCATCTTCTGCTCATGCTAAGTCCATTTTTGAAAAATGACAAAATATAACTCCTAAAACTGCTAAAACTTGATGTCACTTCGTTTTTATTTTTATTTATAGAAGAAGAAGAAGAAGACGTGTCTTCAGAGGTTTTTGTGTCGTTTCTTTCAGTAGTTCTTGGTGCAGCGCCCCCACAGGCGAGTGGGGGAATAGGTTGGTTCAACAGGTTGACTCGACTGCACAGTGCAGTGTGAATGCAAACTCACCAGCTCAAATGTAAACAAAAGCTCATGAACATTGGTCCCGAACCGAGTCTACCGGACTATCTAGTGTGAAAACGACCTAAGAAGAAGTGGGTTGAATCGCGCTCTCCTCCATGCTAGCAGGCTACATTTAGATAAAAGGAGCTGGCTAACTAGCTTGATGTACGGTGGCCTACACGGCCAAAATTCTACAGCGGCCGAGCAGGGAGTAAGAATTTAAAATGCATTTTAAAATCGATTTATGGACCTTTAGAAATGATTCAGAATCGCCAGGACTAAAAATCTAGATTCTTTAAAGAAACAATTTTTTTTCTGCACCCCTAATATATATATACACACACACACACGCACGCACGCACGCACGCACGCACGCACGCACACACACACACATATATATATACATATATATATATACACATATATATATATATATATATATATATATCCATCCATCCATCCATCCATTTTCTTCCACTTATCCAGGGTTGGGTCGTGGGGGTAGCAGTCTAAGTAGGGAGGCCCAGACTTCCCTCTCCCCAGCCACTTGGGCCAGCTCCTCCGGGGAATCCTGAGGCGTTCCCAGGCCAGCCGAGAAACATAGTCCCTCCAGCGTGTCCTGGGTCTTCCTCTGGGTCTCCTCTCGATGGGACGTGTCTGGAACACCTCACCAGGAAGGTGGCCAGGAGGCATCCTAACCAGATGCCCGAGCCACCTCAACTGGCTCATCTTGACGTGGAGAAGCAGCGGCTCTACTCTGAGTCCCTCCCGGATGATCAAGCTTCTCACTCTATCTCTAATGGAGAGCCCAGACACCCTGCGGAGAAATCTCATTTTGGCCGCTTGTATCCAAGATCTTGTTCTATTGGTCACAACCCAAAGCTCATGACCATAGATGAGGGTAGGAACGTAGATTGATCGGTAAATTGAGAGCTTCGCCTTTTGACTCAGCTCTCTCTCTTCACCACGACAGACCTGTACAGCGCCTGCTTCACTGCAGACGCTGCACCTATCCACCTATCGATCTCACGCTCCATTTTTCCCTCATTCGTGAACAAGACCCCGAGATACGTAACTCCTCCACTTGGGGCAGGACCTCCGCCCTGACCTGGAGAGGGCACTGTATACTTTTCCGGCTCAAGACCATGGCCTCGGATTTGGAGGAACTGATCTTCCAAGGACTCCAAAAAGGGTGGATAATCTGAACTGCCGTTTGGTGCATAAGCACAAACGACAGTCAGAAGGAGAACAGCTGATCAGCTGCAGTGTGGGCTGCACAAAGGTGCAGCAGGTGCTAAATAATTTTTAATAATTTATTTTAAATAAAAAATTCATGTCAATCGTGCAGCTCATCCATCAATCAGCCAATTGTGTGTCATGTCCAATCTCATTTTGAACAACCGTGATAGAGCGAGTCCACGCAAAACTAACCGCGAAATAGCGATGGACTACTCTAGATATATATATATATATATATATATATATATATATATATATATATATATAT